TTGTGTTTTTGAGTTGCCTCTTAATTCGCACAGCCTGCATTCCCCCTGCTATTCATGAGAATATAAATCATGGCACCAGTTGGCAGCGTTTTGTCCAGTTGGGTTTATCTTGCCTCTAAAAGTAGCAAAACTTCCTCAGCACATTATTTCAATGTGTTAGTGACCCAAAATAAATTTTAATTTTAGTCTGTTTTTAAAGAATGTTTTCTAAAAATTGTCAAATCTCAGATAAATTTAAAATTGGGACTTGTCAGTCTGTTTTCCTTGTTTGTTTTTTTATATTTATTGTAAGCCAGTGACATGCAAATTGTGTTTTAAACATTGCTCAGTGGTTTGTGGTATGCACATCAGTGGGCTTGAAAATGAAATTTGGTATCTGGGTGTATACCTGCCTTCAATTGTTTACTTAATCTTCTCAATGCATTGTGTTGCAATGCATCTTCCATCTTCATTGTTTTCTCAGTGCATCTTCTAATTCTGTTAACTCATACAATTTCATTAAAATTAATTTAAAATGTGTCACATTACATTTAAACATTACAAGCGTAAGTTGAATGGTTTGTCATGGTGGCTTCTGAATCTTCTGTCTATAGCTAGATTTTCTTTATCTGGAATCTGCTTTCTAGTCAGTTGTGGGTAGCAGGGAGAATGTATGGCTTTTCTCTAATCAGTTATAACATTTAAATACTGTCATAAGTTTGTTTGTCTGAGTCACTCCTACTAATTTTCTTTTAATTATACTCTACTATTAATAATTTTAACCTCACACACCTATGTTGAGTAATTTTGAATGTCACATAAATTTTAACCTTCACATTTTCCAGTGTTTCAGTCCTCTTGCCATAAGCAGACATCATTACTTTCCTTCATTAATAGTACTAACTAAAGATTTTAACATTCATAACTAATTGGCATATAAAATTGTGTAAATGAAAATATACTACTGGTCAGGGGTAAATTGACTTTGAAAAATTCCACCTTCCCCTTTCAGTGCATACCACAAACCATGTTGCAAAATCTGAAAACATTGACAACACTGTCCCACCTGCCAACCTATCAGATCTGTCAGCAACGGGAAACCGCGTGCGGACATACACGTATTGGCCTGCAACAAGCTCTGTTAATGTGTTTGAGCTAGCCAGGGCAGGGTTTGTGTTTACTGGAATGGATGATATAGTAAAATGCTACAAGTGTCAGGGCACCCTTAAAAAGTGGAAACCCGGAGATGATCCTTTGGAGGGTCACAAAGAATTCTACCCTGATTGCCCGCATGTCGTTGCCCTTGATGCTATTAAAAAGTCAATTAACACTGAAACCCAACTGGAAGACCTGCTATCTGTGTGCGATGGAGTAGGTTATCGTCTACGGCAATTGCACACCATCCAGAGTAAGGCATCAGGAGTAGAGCCAGGTAGGGAAGCTGTCTGTGACACTGGGGAAACTTAAGAGTGTGTCAATAAACCCTCAGTAATGAGTGCAGGTGTTCCAAGTTTGCTGTTTGTCACCTCAAGGGGTCTCAGATTTTTGTCAAACCCAAATCAATTAAGATTTCCATTAAAAAAAAATTGACAAATTTGATTTCATCTATCCAATGTAAAAGAAATAATGTTATCCAGATAAAATTTGTGTGTGCTGGAAAAAAAACATGTATTTTTTTTATAAATACAAAAAACATACAATCTTTAGTGTAACTTCCAGATTAAAGGTGTGTAAATTCTTGGGGGTATAGAGAGTACTCTGTAAACAAGCAAATTTGGACCTTCTGAATTCCACCACTATTTTTAAAATATGTATCATTTTACCAACAGCTAAGAAGCATCTGACAGAACTGCAAAAGAGACTCGACACTACCGAGCGTACCATGCACCTTGTTATGAAACAAATGGAAGCTGTGACAAAGTGCCTGGCCAAGACACTCGCTGATGACCCAGCCATGAGTGGAGATAAATCATTGGCTGAAATCACAGAGGGGCTTGTAAACTTAAAGGAGAGCAATGTTTAAAGACCTCACAAAAATACAGAGCACTTGCACTTCTTCATACTATATTTATGGAAAAATCACAATATTAAATTATCTAGAAAATGACATTTGCAAGAAAAAAAATTGGGGCCAATGTGCAAAGTGTACATGTATGATTTCATAAATGAACTGAATTTGTTCAAGATTAATACTGGAGGAGTGTATGAACAGCTCTGTAGCAGCCTGCTACATGATGCAGCAACCGTGTTACAGATCGACAAAAGTTTTGCTTTGAATGCCAGTAAAAGTTTTTATTAGAATAAAAAAATTTTTATTGCTGTGTGGTAATTTCATATACACTGTTAACTACCAGAACTAAACAATGGGCGAACAGAAGTAATTTGCTTGGAAAGCAATTTTTACTGCTTGGTAAATATCTGGTAACGAACTAGTCAAAAAATTGAAAAAAAAAAAAAAAGTTTGAGAATATTAGTGACAAATATTTTACAGCTTTTGTTGATAGTGGTTCTGTACAGTGGTGGTTAACTATTTATTTATGCACTTGGAAACAATTTATTTATATCCCTAGGTAAAATGTAATTGTTTATTCTTGAAAATAGGCAATGAATATGAATTGAATAAATTATTTATTATTTAATGAATTGAAGTAGGAACTTTAGTCTGGCAGTTTTGTAAAATCACGAAATCTGTTTTTACAGTGATGTTTATTCCTTAGAGTTAAGAAATGATTACCAGGAACATTTTATCAAACATAGATATGTCGTCAACAAAGGTAATTGAACTTAACCGGTTATGACATCATGTGAAATAACATACAGATGATTCAATTTCTTATACGATAGGCTTGATCTCTTTCTTTTTAAATCCAAGTCTGGTTTTGGGCTAGCACATGTTAATGAAAATAAAACTTCCTTAAATTATCTTCTTCTTGTAGTATATATCCGAGACAATAATTATTGAAACTTTTATTGGCTTGACTTGTGTATAGCAGCGAGTTCTGAGTTTTCCCTGACTGGTTTCTGTAAAGGACAAGACTTGGATATTGTTGTTCCACCCCACCAAGTTCTTTCCCCTGCACTTATTTACCAGACTCATTTCCTTCACATTACTGGTGCTAGCCTGATTATCAAGCCTTCCTAAAGGGAAGTGAGAGGGGAGAACCTTTCCTCCCCCTGTACTTTGGAAAAACCCGACACTTGGGCTATATGAGTACCCATTTATATAGTACTTTCAGGGGTAGTGAGAGTGGAAGGCATGTTGTTGTAATGGTTCTTTAGCATTTTGGACCCAACAGCAATCATTTCTCACAGTGCCTTTCTCCTCCCAAGAAAATGAATTGGTACCATCAAACCATAAGTCACATAGGCAGTGGGGCTAGCTGGGACTCTCTTTGCTATCTTCAATCCTCAGCGGGGGGTGAGGGGGTGGGGGTGGCGAGGGGTGGGGGCATGGGGCATTCACTTCGCTCTCCACCAAACTCTATTTCACAAGATTTTCTTGGCCTCACCAAGACAGATTCTATGTTTGCAGTTCTCCGGCACCTCCATGACTGCTAAGGTTGCACCATTATTGATGAAGACTTGACTAGTGAGCCATTAAATGCAGAGATCGAAACTTAAGGCCCTGCCAACACAATATTAGAACAAGGCTATCCTCTCAAGCTGTGTTACGCTTCGCTATAGTCTGAGGCACAGTCACCCTTTTGTAACTGCACCTCTGATGCTCCGAGGGGAATAAAAGTCTCATGATCATGGTTACCATAAAGGTGGAGTGGCAGTCACTAACCCATACTGGGTTATTGGATGATTCAAGCTAAGGAAATGGACTGTTCTTTTTAACTACAAATTAAACTTTGCATCTGGGAGGGGTGGTGAAACCTTTCATATGTTTATCACAATCATATTAATACTGTCTGATGGCCTCATCAACTTTCTCTATTGAAAATCAATGTTTATTGCTTTTCATAATACACCGTACAGATCTCAAAATAGTACAATGTTGAATGTAACATTTGAAAAATATATATTTATTTCTTAGCTGTTTGTTTATCTTCTATTTATTCATTTTTTGGTAGTAATAAACTAATATATATTATTGTATACTTTATGGCATTTTAAAAAATACACTATTAACATGTAATTTTGGACAGAAACAAACACTTTTTTCTCACATACAACTGCAATAAAAATCACTGCCAAATATCACCAAGGGAAAGATTTCTATGTTATGTATATTTAAAGCTTAGGGACAAGTGGGTTCAGACCAAGACTTGTTCTAAATGCAAGGCAGACTTGATAAACAAAAACTCTGGTGTGTGACCGTTTCAAGTTTTTCAAAATTATGAGATTGTTAACTGCTGTATGCATGGCTGACTTACAGAGCAATGCTAAATAATATGCTATATTTAGCTGCACATGAGCGTCAGAGATTAAAATTTGCATCAAAATAATTACCTGATGACTACCATCACAAAACACTGCTCATCTCTTAGAGATTCCTTTTTTTGGTGCATCTACATGCATGTACCTAAATTTACGCCTTGCAAGAGACTTCAACAGAAAGCAAAAGAGAGAAGAACCTCTTAAATCCTCATGCAAGTGTCTACTGAAATTTAGCAGTTCATCTTATTAAGACATAGGCATACATGTAATATAGTGTGCATCACATTTGTCAAAGACAATGGACTAAGCAGCATGTCCAAATGTGCAAACCGTGTGCAACATGCAGATACTAAAATTAAAAAAATCAGAAAAAGAAAAGATCCACATGGAGATTTTCCACCCTTAAGAAGTACCTTAGTCTTGCAGAATTACACCTACATGAAGCTTAAAGTCTCAGCAACATTTCAAAAGCAAGTTAATGCTGCAAAGCATCCCACATTGCTTTGGTCTCCTGTTGAGCCCTCAGGATGTCGCTGTAGTCCAACAAATCTGAATTCCAGATGGCAACACCATTCAAATTTTCAGCAGATGCAAACTCATATTTTTGTTTAAGACTCTGCACATTATCGAACCAAACCTGATGTTTACCACCCACAGTGTCTTCATAGTTGAAAAAGAATGAAGCTGAATCTTCATCCCACTGAGCCTTCGCATCTCTGCTGAGAATCAAGTCCTGAATATCAGCATATTCAACCTGCCGGCCAGCTGCATCACTGCAATTCACACCACGGAATGGCACCCGCTTGATTGAGCAGATGTTTTCATTAAGTTCCAAACAGGGGTAGTCATAACCGTACCATGGTAATCCAAGGACCAGTTTTTCTGGTCTGATTCCAAGAGCTAAGTATTCTCCAATAGCTTAAAAAGAGGCAAAGAGAAAAAAATTACATAAGTTCTACATTCTCTATTTTTAAAGTTAAATCACTAGCTTTGTACCTCATTTCTACAACAAAACAACCACAACAAAAACTTTTATTTCACCCCACAGTTAATAAATTCCAATGTTATAGAGGCCAATAACCCAAAGTATGGTCCCAGGCAAGCTCAATACAGAAAATCATTCATTTGCGATATTACAATACATTTTACCAGTAATCCAATGTTGGAGTGGAAATCAACCATGTTGATTGGCAGATTTGAGTTGTTGATTCTGTCAGCTTAAAGTTATATAAGAGAAATTTAGCCAAGAACTGAATTGAAAATAAATTCACATGCTTTACCAGCTTTTGTCTGTTTCAAGGGCGAGTTAGCCTTTGCAACACAATTTCCTGTTTTGATCTGACTCTGTTCATCATAGGCCATGACAACAAGAAAATCAACGACCTTGGAAAGAGCTTCAGCATCATAACAACGTCCATCAATACAATCAGGAGACCAGGCAATGTCGAAAGACACCTGAAAGATATTGATGAATATATCGATCAGTAAGCTGGATAACATTTTAAGTCCAAAAATGTTGAACACCCAAACTTGGTCAAAAGTGGTTGCATGTGACACGAGCAAAGCACCAAGAAGAATGAATGATGGGCACTTGTTTGTCACAGGTTCTGATTGACTGTAAGTAGGGTAATTGGATTGGAAANGGAGCAAGAAAAAAGAAAAGCAACCAAAATCGTCACTTATCCCCTTTTATGACTAGCTTCTTCATATACAGACTGAGTGCAGTACAAAGTGACATCAACTGATGTGCATAACATAATGGCAGTTACATATTTTCTTACCTGCATGATCAGGCTTGGTTAAGGGTTAGTGTTAGTGTTAGGTTGGGGTTTTTGTATCATGTGGAGGCACAGTGGGATAATGGTCAGCGGGGGATTCAGACCTTGAGCTAAGGGGTGGGTTTGCTTGCCCTGCTGGCTTTTCTTCCTTATACAATTTTTTTACCCAAGATAAGGGGGGGGGGGAGCATCCCAGGCCCCCCTGGACCCCTCTCCTAGATCTACCACTGACAGTTAGCATGCTGTACCCTGGGGTCAAACAGTCTGGGTTTGAGCAGGGGCCAGGCTTACTACGATGTGTTCTTGGGCAAGACATTTAACTCTCATGTCCCTCTCTCCATCCAGGAGAACAAATGGATACCGCAGAATGTTATGCTGGGGGGTAACCCTGTGATGGACCAGTATCCCATCCAAAGAGGAGTAGAAATTCTCCTGCTTGTCACATGCTACAGAAACTGGGATAAGGCCTGACACAGATTTACCTTTGATTGGGTTTTCTTGAAATAGTAAAAACTTCCTCAAACTATGATATTTAATAATTAAGTCAATTGACTTGTATATGCATGCACTGAATGAATGACGGTACTGCACAGCATGGCTTTTTACAGACCAGCTCCTTAACATCCCTCCAACCCCACACATACAATTAACAAGTTTTGTAGTCCATGACGCTTCTAAAGTAGGTGAATACAGTGAAATGAAAATGATTATGTCTGAATAGTTTTTTTTTACTTATTGGTGGCTCATACACTGTATACCTGAGAATTCTTTATTGCTGAACGGAAAGCTGTTGCTGTTTCGTTCACTAGTTTTGTCAGTAATGTAACCTCTCTTGACCTCTTGGCTATTGGCGACTCAATATCGATATTCACTCCATCAGCATGGCGAGCTAGAGCTTCTTGAGTCAAGTTGTGTATCCATTTGGTTCTTACTTCTTTACTACTCAGCTTTTCTGTGGGAAAGTTGGCAGCCAAGACAACTCGAACACCCTGCAAAAGGAAAATGAAAGTTGCATGTTCAGTTGTCAGTGTAATTGGTAAGATTAGTGCTTGATAGGAGGAGTATTTGTCACTTTCACCTGCAGCGCTGATCAAGTTTCAATTTTGGCCTACTGAACTTGGGGCTCAAAATAGCAATTATATTAAAATGACACAATTTCTGCCAAAAATTTATAACCAAGTCACATTCATGTACCAACTAGAAGATTTACCAAATCGATGAGAATAGTTACAGCTGAGTTTACAAAGTTCAGGAACTCATGTTCAACTTTGATTATCAAAACAATAGCAAAATAATATTGCAGCAAGAAAGACAGATGTGAAACTTGGAATGAAGAGGTTTTTCTCAAACTAATCATAATGTTTCTCTCAAGATGCATCTTGTTTCTTTTCAGACACCTCCCATTGCCTTCTTGTGCCACTCGAGGCAGCACAGATTTACTGATTTGAACAGGTGTAAACAATCCCTCATCAGCTATTACAAACAGAATATACAAATATCCTGGACGGCAACAATGAAATGTGAACTATGATAATGATAACCTTTATTTCATGTGGTCAAATGTGCATAGCTAAATAGCTACTTTACAGACACGCCACAAAATAAAAATAGCAACAAAAATCTACAAAAAGTACATATTTACAATTAAAAATGAAATCAGTCACGAACTACCACTACAATCCTGATAAAAAGTCCTTGGACGCTTTAAACTTTTGCTAACATATGGTCTTTCTGTCCATGTCCACCTCCCCCTTCCCACCCCCAACACAATGTTGATGTTGATTCATTCAAAGTAGACATTGCTTTGCGGAGGGGGAAGGGGAGGGGGGTTCGCAAAATTCAATAATGGCTTCCCACTTCAAAATAATGGGTCACCAGTTGGCATTTTGTCAAGTGTCCCAAGGACTTTTGGCCAGGACTGTACTTTTTATAAATTAACAACTAGCGCAGCACTGACACAATGAAAAGAATTTTGACCTGTACAAATTTTTAGCCTGTAAACATTTTTGGTTTTCTTCTCATAATGCAAAATAATGAAATAATGAAAGAAAACATTTTTGTTTGTCCTGACAGAATGAAGACACTTTGTGGAGAAATTCCTATAATCACATGAGAAAAAGAGCAAAAATAAATGAATTCTCACACAAAATAAGGAATTCGAAAATCAAAAACATTTCTATAAAGTTAACCGTGATGACTGAGAGGAAACTTCCGGTAAAATAATATCAAGTATCAGAAATTTGATTATCTTTAGTTTCATATTTCATTAGGTAATGTCACTGAGAAATCTGCGGCAAGGAAAATATTTAACATGCAAAGCGCCAAATTGTCGAGTGTTTTTACGATTGCCTTCCAACTCAATCAAGTAATCAAGATATTTACTGTACAAATTAAGACTGATCGAGTAGAATCAATCAATCATTGTGTAAGTAAAGCTTATTTGTATGTTAAGCTTAATTCAACTACGACATCACATGATTTTAAAATTACGAAAAGTGATAGGATTATTCTTAAATGAAGCATCCAGTCCTTGGCTGACGCATTTGAAGTTGTCACGGTGAGAACATAACAATAACATTTCGTTTCTTGTAAATTCCAAAGAAATGAAGTCAGAAATTGTCATCGCGCGTCCCAAGAAAGAATATGACGAGATTTCGCTCGAGTTTTGAAAGAATGCTTTTTGTGGCTCTACACCACAATAGTAGCCCTGCAAATAAAATTAACAAGATAACGGATAAATAAATCAATTGATTTCTTACCCTTTTGTGTGCTTCACACATCAGTTCGTCGTCCCAAGGTCTGAACAGAGCGATCGTTGTCACTTTCGTCCAGTCGTACTTTCTCCACACATTAGGTTTAGTGGAAAACATAAGAAATTCTTTTCCCGGAGGTCTTGCGATTGGTTCACATAAAGACTGATCTTCACAAGGGCATTTTCCATTCACTGTGGCAGAAAAGCTGCCCCAAAACAGGAGAATGAGGGCCAAAAATCTGCTCGCCATGACCAAACAAGCATTGACAGAAAGTACCAGTTCGAGGAGTTGGAACTGGAAACGAGGAAGCTTAGCTTTCATGTCACGTGGTAATCATGTGACTTGGTC